ATAGATTTGATCCAATGAAGCAGAGATATGTGTGTGATTGTTTGTTAAATGAAAGTGATGTTATATACCATTGTAATATTTAAAAGTTATTTATACTTATTCAAGAGATATATTTATGAAATGTATATTATTTATTGAGTATTTATGTTATGAAGGTGACAGGTTTTATGGCAATGAATAAGATTAGATGTACAAATTGTGTGGGTGTGCAATTCTTTCAACTTGTAAAATCTTTGAAAAAACTTGTAAAACTTGTAAAATTTGTACATCTAATCTTATTCATTGTCATAAAACTGTCACCTTCATAACATAAATACTCAATAAATATCACACCTTTCATAAATATATCTCTTGAATAAGTATAAATAACTTTTAAATAATACAATGGTATATAACATCACTTTCATCTAACAAACAATCACATTACACCTATCTCTACTTCATTGGATCAAATCTATCTCCTCAAGAACTTCCCGTTTATTGTCAAACAACTACAATAGCAGACTTAAGTTCTCCATTCAACAATACATGATAGTTTCAACCATGTTCTACCATCCATCAATTAATAGAGTACCGGCATGTAAGTAATGTTTTATTTATTTGCTCATTTATTAATTTATTACATTCTAATAGACTTTTTTATAACAATTTGTGGGTCTTACCTTGTCTGTTAAAACTTTTTATAACTTTTTATTCATTTTGAAAAACCACAGACATGTAATATTGGCATAATTACTGTAATTTATAACATCTACTTTGTTTATCTTTATTAGACAACACCCTAACATGGGTTTATTATTATTTCAGCATTTGTTTAACTTTGTATCGAGACCTGAATATGCTTTTCATATTGTAGAAAGCGAAACCGGTCGTCTGGATAGTTAAATTAAATTAATTGTGTGTAAGTCTTATTTATTATTTCTTTGCCTATTTGAAGGACTCACACAAGCAACACATTCATGATTTAAACAATAAGGGTGACAGACTGCATCCTTGTTTTAGTCCTTTAGTTACTTTTATTGGCTCTGATAGTCTATTTTCGTTTTTTAGGTAAGTAGTGTTATCCTTACATACTTCTGTGATTGTTCCTAAAAGCTATGAACTAATGTCGAGTTGTTGTAAATCTTACTACAATTTAAGTCTTAGAATTGTATCATACGACTTTTCTAGGTCGGTGAAGGCTACCGCTATTCTTTTTTCTATTAATTGTTGGAGTATAAACAAGTTATCAGTCCAAGATCAATGATCAAAAATTCAAACGTCAATAAACTTATTTTAACCTTCAATTGCAGCTTATTCCCAATAAAAATAGTAATTAGATCTTACCTCTTTCGTTGGTCCCGTTGGTATTTCTCTACAGTCACAGGGTAGTGATGTAACAAATGTCATTTTTTAAACATTCGCGAAAGCGAATGCGAATGCGAATATATGCCACCGACATTCGCGAATGCGAATGCGAATATTCAGTTTTTTTTTTAATTTGGCAATTTTAATTGTCTCTGGCATTGCCGGCAGTCTCATTTGCGCGAGGTGTGTAGGCAATTGGAAAAAGTCTGTCATTTTTAACTGCTTTAAATTGTTCAGTATCATTCTATCATATTTGCTAAAGTAAAGATGTGAAACAGTTGTATTTATTGTAAAGAACTTTATTGTAGGCGGTTAAGTTTATTGAGGGGTCGTTTAAAAAGGTATTTATTTATAGTCACGTCCGGGCCAAAAACGTAGAAAGCACGTTTTCGATTTTATATTTCTTGTTATAATCAAATTTGACTTGTTATAGAGAGAATGTTATAGCAGAGAACTAAGTTCTCTGGTTATAGTTCCAATAAAAATTTCACGGGACACAAGTCACTCCACTTGCCCTGTTCTGCTCGTGCACAAATACAAGTGAATTTTTAGTTAAAGTGTGATTAGCGGTTTATTACTATGAGTAAATTAAATTATAGTGAAATATGGACTTATTTTTTTACCACTTTTCGATACTGAACGAGCTAAATGGAAGCTGTGTAATATTCGCAAAACATTCGCACAAATTTTGCGAATGCGAATGCAAATGCGAATATGCAAAAATATGCGAATATTCGCGAATGCGAATGCGAATATTCGTTACATCACTATCACAGGGTTCATACCTATTTCCCCCATTTCTCCACTGTACATCTATTAGACTCCCAACATTGCGTGATTATCAATGTCGGAATATTCGTAGTAAAGGTATTTATCTGTATCTGTCTTTCTGAACCTGTGAAGGTACGCCCTAAAAACATACAATCAACCCAGTCCCTTAGGCTCGGGATCAGCATCTGGGTCCACTGGGCAACATCGGCCTTGTTGTTCCACTCTTCTTGCCATCTTTCCATTGATTTTTCCCTTTCGTCTTTTTTTTATAGCTCTGTATCTATCTTTCTGAACCTATGAAGATCGCCCTAAAACAAACAATCTACCCAGTCCCTTAGGACCGGGATCAGCATCTGGGTCCACTGGGCAACATCTTCCTTGTTGTTCCACTCTTATTGCCATCTTTGCATTGATCTTTCCTTTTGTTTTTTATCATCATCATCCCTGGCTCGACAACCCTTTTTGGGTCTTGGCCTGTTCAAGGATTCTTCTCCATTCTGACCTGTTTCGTGCTTTTTTTTTCCAGTTTTTAATTTTTAATGTTGTTATTTCATTTTCTATTTGTTCTACGTATCTCAGCTTCGGTCTTCCTCTTGTTCTTTTTCCTACTGGCACTTGTTTGAATATTTTGTTTGGTATTTCGCCTTCTTCCATTCTTTCCACATGTCCAATCCAACGTAGCCTTCCTATTTTAATGAATGTTATGATATCCGGATCCTGGTATATGTTGTATAGTTCAAAGTTATACCTTCTCCGCCAAATCCCGTTTTCTTTTGTGCCCTTATATATGTGTCGCAAGATTTTTCTTTCAAAGGTGGCTAATAACGTTTCCTCCCTTAGAGAGTGTCCAGGTTTCTGAACCGTATGTGAGTACCGGTCTTATTAAGGTTTTGTATATTTGGCATTTTGTTTTTCTGGAGACGTTATCTGATCTTAGTTGCCTAATTAAGCCATGGTAACATTTATTGGCAATAAATATTCTCCTCTTCACTTCCTCTGCAACGTTGTTATCAGACGTAACTAGGGATCCTAAGTATGTAAAGTTTTTTACCGCCTCAATGTTGTATTCTTCTATTGTTAAATTTGGCAGCTGCCTTATTTGTGCGTTTTTATTTGCAGGCATATATTTTGTTTTTGTCTGATTGATTTTAAGACCACTATTTTTTGCAGCTCGTTCTATTTGAGTGAATGCCTCTATCATTTCTCTTCTTGATCTTGCGATTATGTCAACATCATCTGCAAATGCTAGTACTTGCACGCTTTTATTAATTATTGTTCCTCGGGTATTAACTGTTGTGTCTCTTATTATTTTTTCAAGTATGATGTTGAATAATATGCATGATAGAGCGTCTCCTTGGCGTAGTCCCTTCTTCACATCTATTGTTTCCGTTAATTCGTTTTGTATCCGGATTTTACTTTCTACTTTTAGTGTTTCTTTTATCAATTCTATTAGCTGTGTTGGTATATTAAATTCTTTCATTGCTTTTGTTAGGTATTTGGTTTATATTGTCATATGCGCTTTCGAAGTCTATGAAGAGATGATGTGTGTCGATGTTATATTCACTTGTTTTTTCAAGGATCTGTCGCAGAAGAAAGTCTTTCATACATTACGTTGGACATTATTTTGTATGCCGCATTCAACAGCGTGATTCCACGGTAGTTTTCACATTTTAACTGGTTTCCTTTTTTATGTAGTGGTACAATAAGGCCGCTATTCCACTCCTTTGGTAGCTGTTTATTCAACCATATCTTTCTTATCAGCTCATGTATGGCTTTAAGTAATGCGTTTCCTCCCTCTTTCAGTAGCTCCGATGATATTTGATCCGATCCCGGTGATTTATTGTTCTTTAATTTGTCCACTGCTGTTCTAATCTCTGCTATTGTTGGTGGACTCTTTTCTCTGTTGTCTGCTTGGTCTAACGATATATCAGGGTTCATCTCCGTCCTATTCACCCCAAGCTTTTCCTTAAAATGTTCTGTCCATCTAAGTATCTCTTGCTGTTCTGTCAATATATTACCCTCCTTATCTTTACACATCGTTGTTCTCGGTTTGAACTCTTTTCTGCTTTTGTTGAGTTTCTGGTAAAATTTTCTTGTCTCTGTTGGTTTACTTAGTTCTTGTAGTTCTTGAAGTTCTTTGTTGATATATTCTCTCTTCTTTCTTCGGTGAATTTTCTTTTCTTCTTTACGTAGTTGTTTATATTCTTCCTCTGCTTGTCGGGTTCTGTGCCTCTGTTGCATCTGTAGATATGCTCTATTTTTTCTTTCTGTTATAGTTTGACATTCTTCGTCAAACCAGTGATTCGTTCTTGTTCTTCTTTCTTTACCTTCCATGCCCAACACCTCTTTAGCTGTTTCTTTTATGATTTCTCTGCACTCTTCCCACACCTCATTTAGGTTTTCATGTTTTAGTCTGTTTTCTAGTTTGATGCTTATATTTTCTTTGTACTCTCTATTTTTGTTTGTTCCTTTGAGTCCTTCTATATTGTATCGTTCATGTTTAGAGCCTCTTTCCTTTTTGATGTTTGAAATTCTAGCCCTTATCCTACTTTCGACTAGGTAGTGATCAGAATCCGCATTTGCCCCTCTTCTGGTACGGACGTTTATTTTGTTTTTTATAGGTGTTGTCAAATGCTTCTCTCATAGAGATGTCTCTTTTCTACTGCTAACACATGCAGACACACACAGAACACAACCCGTGATAGTCCACAAGGCCGCCGCAGATACAGGTCCTGTAGGCGCATGCTACTCGCAACAGACTCGTTCTGTCTACTTTTGTCATGAGCCTAATATTATATCTAAATATAATGAAAAATATTGTATTTAATTTATTATTATTTAATTTAATATTGAAATTTAATAAAAGTTATATTTATCACCAGGAACCAAAATTACGGTGTACCACAACTTCCATGACGAAGTGAACTTATACAAAACTCACTGGTGGAGATGCAACGGCCCCTGTCAAACAAGGAAACCTTTTTTCGGATTAGTACGTCGAGCTACCAACAGAGCTCCCGGTCCGAACGATTTTTGGTATGCCGAGCATTCGCGAAATTGCGGAGGCCAGTTTATCAAGGTAAATTATTTGGTTTTTTTTTATAAAACTTTCTTTCTTTTAACTTCCTTTTTATTTCTGCATCAATCTATTAGCCTTACTTTTTTCTTTTTTCTACAATTGTGCTGAGTTGTGCTCTATTAATTATCTGTTTTAAAAAGTGACAAAACAGCGAAGGAAAAGCCAACAGCATGAAAAATGCGAAGAATAATCTCAGAAGTATCGGAAAAACAGTGCAAAAGCTAAAAAAAAACATCTAAAAACTGAAGGAGAAGTGTAAATAGTCTAAAAAACCAATGAAACATTTTGGAAATGTGAAAAAGACGAAGCAAGATGTCCAATTATTCAAGAAAAGAAGAAAAACATGAAAAATGGGTGTAAAGTATCAAAAAAACGAAGAAAAATAATTAGTAGACCTCGAAAACTATTGTGAAGTATCGATAAACTGTCAAAACATGATAAAACTCGTCGAAAAGTGAATGGAATGCATCATAAGTATCAAAAAATGAAGACGTATTAAACAGAGAGCATTATTAAGCTTTTAAACGTTTCAAAGAGAGACGAAAAGCAAAGGACAAGCACCAAAGACGAAGGAAAGGCATCAAAAGTATCCAAAAGCATAGGGATCGGTGAAATTGCGACCAAAGTTTCGAAAAACATAAAAAAAGAAAGAAATAAAACATCCAGAAATCAAAGAAAAACGTTAAGAATCGTCGAAAAAACCTTAGGTTATGGAAATAGGTTTTAAAATACCATCAAAACGTCGAGAAGTAAAGAAAATATAAGGAAAACATCTAAAAACTGTAGAAGTGTTAAAAGACTAAAAAACCAAAGAAATGTTTTGGAAATGTCCAAAAGACGAAGCAAATGTGTCCCAGGATTCAAGAAAAGAAAAAAAAAAAAACGACAAAAATGTGTGTAAAGTGTAAAAAAAGCAAAGAAAAATGCTTTCTAAACATGTCAAAACTGTCAAAACATGATAAAACTCGCCGGAAAGCGAAGGAAGTGTATCAGCAGCATCAAAACACGAGGAAGCGTTGAACAGATACCATTATAAAGCTTTTCAACGTTTCAAACAGAGACGAAAAACAAAGGACAAGAGCCAAAACAAAAGAAAAGCTTCAAAGTATCCAAAACATCTAGAAATCAAAGAAAAACGTTAAAAATCGTCGAAAAGACTTAGGGCTAAGGAAATAGGTTTTAAAAACGCCATCAAAACGTTGAGAAGTCAAGAAAATCTAAGGAAAACATCTAAAAACTGAAGGAGAAGTATTAATAGCCTAAAAAACTAAAGAAATATTTTGGAACTGTCAAAAAGACGAAGAAAAGGTGTCAAAGGATTCAAGAAAAGAATAAAAACATCAAAAATGGGTGTAAAGTATCAAAAAAGCGAAGAAAAATACGTAATAGATCTCGAAAACTATTATGAAGTATCGATAAACTGCCAAATATGATAAAATTCGCCGAAAGATGAAGGAAGGTCATCAGCAGTGTCAAAAAACGAGGAAGCGTTGAACAGAGAGCATTATAAATCTTTTCAATGTTTCAAACAGAGACGAAAAACAAAGGACAAGAGTAAAAGACGAAGGAAAAGCATCAAAAGTATTCAAAAGTGTAGGGAATGGGAAATGTCCAAAAGACGAAGCAAAGGTGTCACAGGATTCAAGAAAAGAAAAAAAAACGACAAAAATATGTGTAAAGTGTAAAAAAAAGCGAAGAAAAATGCTTTCTAGATCTCGAAAAGTATTGTGAAGTATCAAACAACTGCCAAAACATAAAACTCGTCGAAAAGTGAAGGGAGTGAATCATAAGTATCAAAAAATGAAGAAGTGTTATACAGAGAGCATTATTAAGGTTTTAAACGTTTCAAAGAGAGACGAAAAGCAGAGGACAAGCACCAAAGACGAAGGAAAGGCATCAAAACTATCCAAAAGCGTAGTGATCCGTGAAATTGCGACTAAACTTACGATAAACATAAAAAAAGAAAGATATAAAAACATCCAGAAATCAAAGAAAAACGTTAAAAATCGTCGAAAAAGCCTTAGGCTATGGAAATAGGTTTTAAAATACCATCAAAACGTCGAGAAGTAAAGAAAATCTAAGGAAAACATCTAAAAACTGTAGAAGTGTTAAAAGACTAAAAAACCAAAGAAATGTTTTGGAAATGTCCAAAAGACGAAGCAAAGGTGTCACAGGATTCAAGAAAAGAAACAAAAAAACGCCAAAAATGTGTGTAAAGTGTAAAAAAAGCGAAGAAAAATGCTTTTCCTTCTAGATCTCGAAAAATATTGTGAAGTATCGAAAAACTGCCAAAACATGATAAAATTCACCGAAAAGTGAAGGAAGTGCATCAGCAGTGTCAAAAAACGAGGAAGCGTTGAACAAAGAGCATTATAAAGCTTTTAAATGTTTCAAAAAGAGACGAAAAAACAAAGGACAAGAGTAAAAGACGAAGGTAAAGCATCAAAAGTATTCAAAAGTGTAGGGAATGGGAAATCGACCAAAGTTACGAAAAACATCAAAACAGAAAGAAAGAAACCATCTAGGAATCGAAGAAAAACGTAAGAATCGTCAAAAAGCCTTGGATTAAGAAAATAGGTTAAAAGCGCCATTAAAAATCATCATTGAGTGTAATTTTATGATCATCTGTTGGATCATCTCGATTTCTACCTTCTGTTGCTGTTTGCCAGTTTAGAGCAATCCATTCACCGATAGCTAAGATATCCAGGAACTTGTTCTTGCAGACATGAACTGCAGAACCATTCTATTTAAGAAAATATTTGCAAGAGTTCTTCTCTCTCTGTCTCTGATTTTCGGTCTCGAGCCCTAACAGTGTTAGATTTCTGAGTCAAAAACCTCAGAAATAACATTTTCCAAAAGTCTTCAAAATTTTCTTTTCTGTCATCTTCTGTGAGTCTTAGACACTGGATTACACTATTTTTTTTCTGCTACACTTGCAGCTTTTTTATATTATATACATTCTGTCCATTTTTTGTTTTTCTTTTACCGCAATATTCCTTTCCTAACTTTCTGGCTGTTATATTTTTCCTAATGTTCCAAGTTTGCTGATTCACTTGGTGTCGTTTCTTGCGTTTGGTTTTACTTGATATTTTATTCGAATTCTGATCAAAGTCATTGTCAATTTTATATTCACGTTCATTGGGCCTATACTCTTCATTGTATCTGATTGCTCATCGCTAGTAATATTATTAACAATGTCATTATTATTAATATGTAATATGCAAGGCTCAGTTTGATTAGGCGTATTATATTCGTAATTCTTCAACTGCTCAACTGTTTTGTTGCCAATAGTTAGAGTTAGGTCTTCCAATTTATGTAAGGTTTTATCCAGTGCATATGAGCTGCTTATCTCATTAGGCAAATTGTTTTTCTGAAGAGATTCGGGAACTGTTACATTTTCAAGATTCAGCATTAAACTCATATCATCTAAGGACAAGGTGAATACAAAACCATCATTGGGGTCAACAAACATCTCGCTTTCCTCTTCTTCCGGGGGTACATTAATTATTATTGATGCTATTACGCCAATGTTTATGCTCTTTGGGGCATTAACAGTACATTCTACATCAGTAGAATCAACATTTTCATGATCCGATCCTGTTATTTTTTCTGTAAGCTGTTCACTATTATTATTTGGCTGAGTTTTAGGGCTGCTTTGTTGTAGTGCTTAGTATTTAGCAGCTTTTGACCTCTCGATGTTCTGAAAAAATACAAACCAAATTTAGTACAATTGAGTTTGGGAACCTTATAACGATAATATTTTGCCTACCACAGGGGCCATTAATACAAGGGGATAGAAAATTGGCGGAAGAAACTAAAGGGGTTGAGATAAGGCAAGCAAAATAATCGCTACTTGTGCGAACGGACACTCAGGGTTTCGTAGGAGAGCTGGGGTCGTGGATAAGTAAAATGGGGGTTAGAATGGGGCAACTACAACAAAAAGAAATAAAGGGCTTTTGGGATAAACAGAATAAAAATAAACAAGAAAACACCTCAAGAAATTTGATTATAGGGCGCCACTTGAGGTGCCTAATTATGCCTATTACAACCACTAGTTGTAACTAGGGAAATAATTAGAAAAAAAATCAAAACATATCTTTTTCAAATAAAACTCAAAAAGGTTAGCTCAAAAAAAATAAATAAAAAGTTAAGAAAATAAAATTTAACCTTTAATTATGTATACCACAAACAGTTACAAAACAATTCAACTTTATGGTTATGTATTAATGTCGAGAAAGGATAATACTAACTGTCATATATCGAAATGAAATATTAAACCTTTTTGAAACATTAATTTTAATTATAGCAGTCAACTTTATTTAAAAGAAAACTAATAGGACAATTAGCTAATCCATAAAATTTATAATTTCATTTATTTACAATTTTTTAGTTTGTCATCAAAGCAAATTTTTTTATTATTGAAAAATTATTTATTTTTACTTTGAAAAGTAATTTTTAATTTTAAAAGTACCTGGTATCACTGACTGATGTATTTCCTTTAAGAAAATTTTGGAATCGGAATTGAACCAAAACACTGCAAAATATACAACTGTGTCCCACTTAAGCTGCAATTCAGTCTGAAGTGACTTATGAACACAAATAGACAATTCTTTGGAAGTTGGCCACTGGAATCGGGCTTCGGATCATCCTGAATGACAAAAAACTGCAATCTTCAAAACTCGCCCACTCAATTTCCTCCCAAAATCATGTGAACCTCTTAAACGGCTGGAAACGCCGTTTTACAAATCTCTCAGATAAAACACAGCACGAACAAATCGGTGGTTAACTCAACAAAAAAACTGCCAGATCGCATTTTGAGTAAAAATTCACTTTTCAAATTGAAAAAAAAATCCGGCTTGGAAGACTACACCCGCAAGCTATTCCGAATCTCAATTCCAAAACTTGACTGTTTTCTTTGTCTCGGTTTACTCCACACTGCTACTATTTACACATTTTTCCATAACAAAAATGCAATAACGAATTAAAAGAAAATCCGGACTAAACAATGAAACCGACTGACTTTGGCAGCGATTCCACCGAGAGTGACGAAATTAAAAATTTGTTCGCTTAACTTGAAAATCAACGAACTGCTGAAATAGCAAAAACCAACGAACGACGTAGATATCCTTTGAAACGCATTTACATGAAAAGAAATCGCCGCAGTAAAATAAACAACAATTAAATGGATTTATTACTCTACGACGTTAGAATGATTGAAAACACTTTTCGAAAGATACGAACTAAAAAACAGAAAACATTCTTCGTTTTATTAAGACGATTTCATATACGAGGCGACTTTAAATATACTTCAAAGAATCAATCAAATTTAAAATGCTACAACCTCAACCAAACCTCCGAAATAAACTGTAGACATATGACTTTACGTAGGCTCATTCATATCTACAAATTTATTTATCCGCAATATTTCAATTAATTGAAATTATTTTTCAAAATTTTGTGCAGTACGCCTACCTAGAATTAATGCAAAACTCCAGTTACTTAACGAGCTGACATAACCTATAAAATTTTAGCAAATCTCGTATCTCCATGCTTTTATTAAATCATTAATATAAACTCACTACTGTTGCACATAAGTTAAGAAATAAACAAGACGACATTGTGACTGATAACGAAAAAATAGTGAAAACAGTGGAAGACTTCTACAGACAACTCTATGAAACAAGTGAATTCGATGAAAGACGCCCTTTACCAAAGATAGAGAATCAAGGCTCAGAATTAATGCCGAACATAACTGTTGACGAAATTAAAAATGCGCTTCGGGTGATGACGAACAATAAATCCCCAGTGTAATGACCGAAAGCCTAAAACTAGAAGGAAATAAGCTCTTACTGACACTTCTAGCTACCTTCTAGCTCCTACACTAAGGCTAGGAAGTAAGTTGGATTTCTATCAGCCAAGAGAGCAAGCAGGTTTTAGAGCAGGATATGGCACGAATGATCATTTACAAGTAATTAAAACTTAATAGAAAAGAGTGTTGAATATAACAAGCCATTAGTCATGATATTTGTTGACTACGAAAAAGCTTTCAACACAATAAGTCATCAAAAGATGTTAAAAGCCTTAACAGAGTGCCGTATAGATTATCGCTATATAAACATGATAAAATACATCTATCAAAATGGGACAGCGAGCGTGAAACTGGCAGATAAAAAGACCAACGTATTTAAAATAAAACGGGGAGTGCGACAGGAAGACACAATTTCGCCAAAATTGTTAATGTCAAAAAATAGGGAGTTAAGAGGTTTGCTAATATCGATAGGGTATCGATATATATATATATATATATATTATATATATAATTATATATATATATTATATATATATATATATATATATATATATCCACAGTTAAATCTATGGAGATTTAAAAGCTTCACCGAGTGCCGAAATTGTATCACCAATTCACTTTAAACAATAATCAAACTTCTCTTTTTCTCCATTGTTCAGTTTCAATAAAAGAAATATTAATTAATTTTCTTTTTTAGCAGCAGCTTAAAGTTGATTTTTTTTTACAGGTGAAAGAACCAGAAAAACCTACAAAGCAAACTAAATCGAAGTCAGCGAAAAATTCAACTAAGTCTCCCGATATAAGAAAATTCTTTCCTAATAACAACTTATCTAAATCCAAAAGTGATAGTACCAGCAACATTAAAACTGTCGAAAGTAAAGATGAGACAAAAGCGAAAATTAACAAAGTCATCTCTAACTCAGCAAATATTTTTGGTTTTGGCAACCTGAATGGAAATGATTGTAACTGTGATAAAAATGGAAGTAACACCAAAGATAATAAAGCAAAAAAGCCAGTGTCTACAACAGGTAAAACCTTAGGTACTAAAAATCCTCCTGACAGTGTTTCCAAAATTTCTAAAGGAGTTTTAAGAAGAACAAAATCTGAGTCTGCTAATAATGCGTCTAAAGATGGTGAAGCAAAGTCCACTCCTGTTAAGTCTTCGAATAATAGTAACTATGATGTGGTACGCAATCACTGGATAAACAAATTTTCAAATACAAGCAGTCCAATTCCAAAACCGAACACAACCATACCATTGAAGAGACCAAAACCTTCCGAGTCTGCACCAATTGGTGCCAGTAAGGTACCAAAACTATCAGAACCAGCAGCAGAGTGTCCGGTCTGTTCCAGACAAGTACCCGAATATAAAATAAACAGCCATTTAGACGAATGCCTCGGAACGTCTGAACTAGACTCGACAAAATGCTCTAATTGTGGAATTGTTGTTCTCGAAGGAAAGTTAGAAGAGCACCTTCAAGATTGTAGCGACGATGTCGTGTTTCTTGGTGTTACGGACAATTTTGTGGACGAAAATACTTTGGAGAATAGTCAAGAAGATAAAATTAATAGTGATAATAGTGTAGAAACGAAAATATGTGATATTTGTAAGAAAGTGGTAGCCAGTGACAATTTTGACATGCACGTTGTTAACTGCCTTCATAGTATGTTTGATCGAATAGAAGGAGAAATTAATAAACCATCCAATAGCTCGACTTTAACCAACGTAGAGGCTTCTAGTAGTAAAACCAACGATTATACAGACTTGGAAGCTTCTAGTAGCTCTAGTGGATCTAAAGCTACAGTTCAATGTTTGGCTTGTAACAGAAAAATCGTTAAATCGGAGCTTGATGATCATCTCGAAAATTGCTTGGGCTTGAGTCAAATTTTCGACGATGAAAACGAACCTGTCGAAGAACAAATTGAAGCAAAAGGTCTGTTTAATTGTCCATCTTGTATGAAACTTTTTTCAGAATCCGAAATGAACGATCATATTGATATCTGTTTGAACATTAGTGACGTTTGACTTATTTTATTTGTTGTTTGGCACGTGAAGAATATTATTTGTTTTTATTGAAGTTGATTTGTGAAAATAAAATACCAAAATATATTTTTTTATATCGAAATAGGTCTTTTTATTTATTCTCCTTAAAATTACAGTGATATATTTTTTTAATAAAAATTGCAATAAACTCGTCCACGTGAATGCTTTGACCACGTGAATATACTAAGGCTCACTATACAAGAATAAAACAAATATTCACTTAAAAAGTTTTTATTATTCAACATCAAACGATCATAAAAATATTTTACACTTAAAAAAAATATCGATGAATAAAATACTAACATACGCCCCACAAAAATTCTGGCTTCTTTGAAATTGTTTGTAACGTTTGACAATTCGTTTAGAGTCAATATATAACTTTATCATAGAAGATACTAGTCTCACTTTGTACTTAGTCTCAACGCCTGATAAGGCCACTATCGCAAGAGAAAACTATCGTGTAGTAAATAGATTCTCGTAGACGGGCTAATGTTAAATTGTCAGTTGAATCGGATTCGTATGTTTGAGCGGTCAAAACTAGACTTATTGATAATTACAGTAAATATAATTGGTATCGTAATTTTTGTGGAGCGCATAATTAAAATCTTAAAAGTATTTCAGTACAAAAAAATCATCAGTACAAAAATATATCGACAGTGAAAAACCAGGAATGATACATTCATTATATAAATATTTACAAACAAGCAAATATGGATTAAAATACTATTTACTAACTTTAATATCACATCTTTTTAATTTAATGAAAGACAATCAAGACACTGGATCACTTTGATGAGAACTTTGTGCTTATCCTTTAGTGTCACAATAACTTAGAACAACTGCTTTCATACCTATCATGGTTCATGATATTCAAAGTCAAGCACGAAAAGTTGCAAACTTCTAACAGACACATAAAACCAATAAGTTTTTAGGTAAATAAATAATAAAGATATAGCATGCTTAAGAAACCAAAAATCAGGAAGATAGGATTTTGTTGTAGTCTAAAACTTTACATAGGCCAGACAAGAAGACGTGTTAAAAAACGGACAACGGAACATACACAAAAATTTTTCTGCGGTAAAACGAACTCAACACACACTGCCTGCTTGATTACAAAATACTATGAGTTTAACCATAACTTAACTTTGAAACTTTGACAACAAACAATAAAAAGATTGTAATCAATACAGTAATCAATCTAGAAATAGACGAATACGCAATAGTTTTTATTCGCTGCCATTTAAGAGAGATGGCGTTATGTATTGACATCCATTTTGTAGTAAAAAATATAGGTAGGAAGATCTGTAGGAATATCCGATTAACATTGAAGAATCTATTTTGGTTTACTATAAAATCTTCTCATTTTTGAATACCATTAATGTCTTATATGTCATTCATTAACACTCTTATCTTACCGCAATTATATACAATTATGTTTGAACCTTTCGTCATTTTTTTTATTAAATATATATAATTAGAGAATGCAGAACGAATAAAAAGTTATTATTGATTGCAGAATTGGTGCACAAATTTTGTCTTAATATATTAAATAAGATTTATTCATTGTAGTTATCGTAAAGTCTGTTTAAAAGTACATCCTGTTGGTTTTCTATCTTTAAAGGATTTTTGCCCAATTTAAAAAGTGATCAAATAAAATACCTAGTTCATCTGATAAAGTTGTTAGTTTATTGATTTTGTCAGTTAGGACTTTTGTGGCAAACTTAAGTGCGGTGTTCAGTAGATTTATACCTCTATAATTGTTGGGGTCTTCTTTATCTCCTTTTTTGAACATTGGTATCATTATGCTGCTTCTCCGTGCATCTGGTATATTGCAGTGCCATATTAGTTGTTTTTATAAGATTTTGTCTAGGGTTGTACTTTCTCCTCCGTGTTTTAGAAGCTCGTTGGTTATTCCGCCTGGTCCTGGTGGCCTTCTATTTTTGAGTGAATTTATGGCCATCTCTATTTCCTGAAAACTGATTTCTATTTTGTGTCTTAATTCAGGTACGTTATTGTGTTTATTATTATTTTCCTTTTCTTTTAACAGTTCCGTCAGGTATCTTTCCCATTGGTTTGTTGGTAGGTTATTGTATTCCTTCAATTCTGCCATTTCTTTCCGTTGGTTTCTTACGAATCTTCATATTTGTTTTTGTGTACTGTTCCAGGACTTTCCATCCTTTTTGTAAACTGTTCCCAGTGTGCAGTTTTTGTTCTTCCTGCAGGAAAATAATTCCTGCAGTTGGCTGTATACCACGTATCACAAAAAAGAGGTTAGATCTTTGTAAATGGGTCTATTTAAAAACCCTTAGATGTCATATCAGTAGGTTATGATTATGGTCACGGGGCTCTAGGCACAATGTATGGAGACTCGTTGTCAGTTGTCACGACTTGTCAAGATGATTGTTAGAACATGGGTTTTGGACATTGTTGATTCCTAGAGACTTTGTTAATAAGTATGTTTAAATAAATGTATTAAACACAATGAAATATTATTACTTTAGAAGGGGTACATCAATTACACGAACGTTTTCGGAATAATAATTCCATCATCAGATTTAAATGCAAATTAACATGCCTGAGCCAGAGAACTAGTTCTCTGCCTGAGCCACCAAAATTTTATTTCTTTTATTTCTTTTCTGAACCATGGTATATTGTTGTTGTTTCTTTTGTTCAGTATGACTTTGCGTTTTCCTATAGCTTCTGTTGCTGCTTCTTCAATGTTGTTTTTAATTTTCTTTCAGCCCGCTTTTATATCTTCGATATCGTCTATTTGTTTCAGCTGTATATTCTGTGTACTTTCTGTACCTCCTTTGGTACATTTTTCTTGTAGAGCTGTTAAATCTTTGTTTCACTTCTGGAACTATTTCATTTCCAATGTGTGCATTAAAGTCACCCGCAGAATTAAGGGTTCTTCATGAGGTATGTGCTACTAACCAAACAGTGAAAGGAATTAAAAGTATCAGGGAATTATTTCAAATAATAAAAATACTGGATTATATCTGACGAAAAAACAAACAAAAAATGTTTCATCAAACAACTATAGTATTGCCATGAACACATGAGCTTTAACCTTGTTTCGGCCTGAGCCTTTTCAAGGAATGGGCGACTCCTTTTTTTTTTAACAGAGTTGTGGAGGTGTAAGAAACGTCAATTAAATTATGCGCGAGGTAAGAAGTAGTGGACTACTAAGGAGCAGGGGGAAAAGAAGGTGACTTATGTGTGTGATTGATAAGAATCGATAAGAACGCACAAGAAAAATGGAATCTGCTAGCATGCCAGTTGAGGTACTTCAGGGGTTACCAGCCATACAGTCTTTATCATGCAATATTGGATGGGGAATGTTTCAAGAATTTCAAAATACTCATCAGCAAGTTCATGTCCAGTGTTATGTAGAAGTTTTGCTGGAGGAAACGGAACTTTCTTAGTGGGATACCTGGTGAGGTGGTTTGCCGTCTATGATTGCAATGCGCCTTTAATGTTCGTTTTGCTCGGTTGTTCGAGCCAGCTATGGTTCTTAGGACATACTCCTGCTGAGGGTTAGGATTCTGTCCTTGATTGGCGTGATGTTGGCCAATATGTGAATGTGGGCTGATGGATACGACCAATCTTTCTCATACAGCATCTAAGCATTCTACGTTCTGTGGCTGCGATGGAATTCAGTTGGTGGTATAGTGTTGCAAAAGAGTTATAAAGAAGAAAAGAGTTGTGAGAGGTTGCTTAACATCAGAAACTGGACAAGGCTTGGTAAGAACAGTTTTGAACAGAGACGAGGTAACTGTTGTGATCGTTAGCTTCCATTAGTTAAAAAAAACACGCGAAAAACAAGAAATTAGTCCAGATAAATATCTTCAATTTTTAAAGAGTATTACTAACTTTAAAAAATAGTTTTTATAACGTTCTGCATACCCGGCATGAATAAAAAAATATGTACACCTATAATTAAGTCAAAAATCCTAATAATAATCTTTGGAAATATTTTATATTTTCTCCACATTATTGAGAGATTGTTGACAGATAAAAAACTAACCTATTCATAAAATTTCAATTTTTTTATAAATATCCTTGCTTTTATACATTTGTCAATTTTTACCAAATTATTTTTAATTAATTTTTCTTGTTATTCTTCAATAGCTGTTACTTGGTCTGGATCTTTGTATAAATATTATACATATTATTCACGAATTATTCTTTATATTAGGTACATATTTTGTCTACTAACACGTTAATTATGGAATACATCAAATAAAGACCCAATATGATGAAAGGACGGTGATTGATTCACCCACTGGAAAGTTTTGTACAACTCATTTTCATATTATCTACATTTTGCATTTATATTTCTGTTCAAAAATAGTTATTCTAGTTGATTTATTGTGATAAATAAGTATCTTTTTAAAAACAAATAAGGGAAGTACTATTTGATAACCTCCAAATGCATATTACCTTATTTCACATTTACTAATTCTTAGACTGATCTACGTTTGGCTTAAATGTTTTGTATTGAATGGTGTCGACGTTTGAGCAAAGATTCAGTGGTTAACTGCTATTGAAAAACACTTTACTTGAGTTGCTTTGATATAAAATCGTATCAGTGCAGTTGACAAAAAGTGCATATTTATACAAGTTGCCGTTGGAAAATGCGCGATCATGGACAGATCACTCTGTATGATTTCGGATCTACTATTTACTACTATTTACTAGTCTTCGATAGCGTTTGATACTATCGAACTACCGCACTTCTAAGGCATTGGAAGAGTGTCGAATTGATCATAGGTACACCAATATTATAGAAAATATATACAGAAATGCAGGAGAGGTATTCGACAGGCAGATACTATGTCGCCTAAGTTGTTCATTCCTGTACTTGAACATGCTTTGAAGTCACTGGAATGGGAAAGTAAAGGAATAAATATTGATGGTGAGATGCTTAGTCATCTACGATTCGCAGGTGATATTGTTCTGATTTCAGATGACCTAAAGGCTGCCAGTGATATGTTAAATGAACTCAGCGATGCAGCACTTAAAGTAGGTCTAAATATTAACCACCAAAAGACAAAAATAATGACTAATTT